GTCTGGGACTTGAACTGTGGTTGGGCATATGGGAGTCCAGCACCTTAACCATCATGTCATCTGCCAGCTCAAGAATTTTCTTTTTTACATTTCTGAAGTCTGAAGAATCTGAGGGTACCAGCATTGTCAGTTTCTGGTAAGGGCTCTTCTTGACTTGCGGACACCTACTTCTCCCTGTGCCCTTACATGGTAGAAAGAGAGAAATCTTTTTCTTCCTTTTCTGATAAGGACATTAGTCCTATTGAATTAGGGTCTCACCCTTATGGTCTCATTTGCATTCAGTTTCTCCTAAAGACCCTTGACCATTTGGAGTTACTCTGTGGGTTAGGATTTGTGAATTTCAGGGGGATAAAATTCAGTTTATATATTGCCTGTGTCCTCTATACATGTCAGGGCTATCCCAGTGCCCGTAGTCCAAGATCCTGCCCACAGTGGTCACTCTCCATGATGTTTGTTGACACATGCAATTTTTTAGAGTGGAACTACTCCTTGCCCTGCAACTTGAGGGAAGCTTAGGGCCTCCCGGTGGCCTCTATCCCCAACATTCCATTTGAATTAGTGGAAATTTCAACCACCACTTTGTGAATGGTTCCAGATGTGCAGTCCTGGGGGGAGAGCAAGATAGCTGGGAAGCCAAGTTTAAATTAAAAGTTAAATTAAGTTTGGGGTGGGGGACAGTTACTATCACCTAAGGACCGAAGAAGGAGAAACAATACCATCGGGGATGACTTGAACCTGTTAAAAATAGGGGGCTAGACTTATGTCTTGATGAAACAAGTGGCATGGTAAAGCCAGTTAATTAACTTTGTCTCTGGTTCAAATTTTGGTTGGTTTTAAAGTCTCAGAAGGACAAGGAACAAGACAGAAACAAATACAAAAGGAGATAGAGTACACAGAATTATCGACATGAGACAATTGTTCTCTAGAAGATTTGAAGATTAATTAAGAAGGTGATTTCAAAGGAGAAATCATCAAGTGCCCATATGCACATTCTGTCGTGGGGACTGTGAGTCACTGGGGATGCTTTGATATGACTCGGTATTTGTTCGGATTCCAGAGTGAAAGAGTATAGAGCTGGGCTTTAGGGTAAATGGAGTGGATGGCATTTGTGGAAGAAATATTGGTGGAAATGAGTTCTAGGCTTGATGTGGTAAGAATATTTGTAAGGCAAGCCAAGCATGAAGACCGCATGCATTACCCAGAAATGAAATGCCTGCTTGCTATGGCAAACCCATGTAGCAAATGAGACTGTAAAGTTGAATCTGTCAAAACCAGAATGTTGATTGAGAGTGAGCTGAGGACCAGGACTGTGAAGCTGATAGTCTGCTCTTAGTGGGGGCTTGCTTGCATCAGCCATGAACGTGGACCTGGGGACAGTAGTTTAGCACGAGAAGTTCATATAGGGTAGCTACACTGTGGAAAGCCACTCTGTGTGTTTAGACAGTGAGAAAGGAAGATACCAGAATGTTTCACTCCTAGACCTTGTGATCAGAGGACCTCCAGCATTTTTTGCAGACAAATCGCAACCTTCCCAGCCTCAGTTTCCTCATCCTGTCAAGGTGAATAAAAATAGTATCTACCTATTAGGACTATCAAAAGAACTAAACGAGGAAATGCCTGGAAAGGGCAGGCTTAGTTAATGGTAAATAAATGCTTAATAGGTGTTAACTGTAATTATCACAGTTGAATAATACAATTTGTGTCCTTATGATAAGAAAGGACATTTTTACTTCAGTTTCTCCTTAGAACAATAGACCGGTGGAGAAGGAAGTAAATCTAACACAAATGCCATCAGATGGGATTTTTTTTTTTCTTGTTGTTAGAGGTTTTTGCCTTAGGGTGTGTGCGCTCTTTAGAGGTGGGGGAAAGACTGAGAAATTGAGAGGGAAACTGAGAAATCACTCCCCAGGGGGATGGCCACACCAAAATCCCTTCTTCTCTGTTCTCCTCCTGGGATCTTAGGCACACACCTACATGTGCTCAGCTTGATTTTCAAGCCACTGGGTCTGGGACTCGAACCATGGTAGGCCATGTGTGAGTCCAGCGATGTAACTGCTATGCCATCTGCTGGTCCCCAAGTACAATTTGTTGAAAGTCATCCAGAAAGGAGCATGGGAGACCTCTCAAGCTATAGTAGAAATGTTTATCAAACTAGGAGGGGGGAATTGAGTAACATGGGTATGGGATGATTGAAAGGGATAAGAAAGTAAAGAAGTAATTTTATGTGCTTGTTACCTTGACTGTCACCAGTCTGTGAAAAGCACTCACTCTGTGCAGTGTGGCTTATTCCATATGCGATTGCAAGGAAATACATAGACAGCCTCTGGTCAGATGGTGTTCACTGCCGTGATCGGCAAAGTGAGTGTCTAGTCCATTCTGTTGCCAATAACAGGAATCCCCGAGTCTGGGTCATTTATGAAGAACAGCAATTTTATTCAGCTCATGGTTTGAAGGTCCAAGATCCAGGCGCTGTATCTGGTGAGGGTCATCTTGCTAGAGGGAAGGACCTGGAGCAGAGCAGAGCATGTGTGCATTCATGTTTCTCTGCTGGCCTCACTCCCTCTCCTAATAAACCCACTAAGAGTCAATCATGAGCGCCCCACCCTGATGCCTAATCATTTCCCAAAGGCTCTACCTTTCAACATCATAATCAGGCTTGCACAATATGACCAAATTTCAGTGCATGAATTTTGGGGCACGCATTCAAACTATAGTAGTGAGTATAACAATGCTACAAGAATTAAACACAGCAAATGGATAGGATCGCAAATTCAGCACTGGTCTGATACTATCCAGTCAGAGGCCCATGGCTTCAGGAAGCACGTCCTTGACAATGTGAGTGTCCATTCTTGCACTGCACTGTGCTCAGCGCTCTATAACATATGCAGCCTGGTCCCTGATTTTAGTCTCATTTTGGAAGAAGGTAAGTGGGGAGACCATTTAAAAAGGAGGCTTTGATGATAATCTAGGTAAATCGAGATGAGCCCAAATGGGGGCAGTGAGATTGAAAAAGAGAGGACAGATGCAGAAGCAAAGAATCTTGCATTCTTAAGTATAAGAAAGACCTAGCAAGAATGAGGGATAAAGGGGAAGAATCCCACAGTTCTAGCCCAAGTGCCCAGGAAGTCCTATTAGCAGAGCTGCAGCCACCAGAGGAAGTTGGACCAGTGTCGACGGAAAAAAATAACCAACTGTAAAATTAATAATTAATGCGGCTTATTTCCAAGCCAACTGTGAGTGACCTAGGCCGGAGAAGAGGCATACGTGCCTTTTCTCGGGGTGATCATGTACAGAGGTTCCTTTTATTTGTTTTTGAGATTGACAGACAACATTTAGTGAAAAGATTTTCCGTTGGTCTGGCCCAAAAAGGCGGGACATGGGCGGGCCCAAAAAGGGGGGAAATGTGGAGGGGGGGGGGGGGCTTGTAGGTTATAGGTAGGTTCCACAATTCTTAGGTTAGTGATTGGAAGGGAAGATCTGTGTCTTAGTTAAAGAAAGGCTTAATCTACATCTCAAGGAAAAGGGAAGTTCTGTGTCTTGGGAAGAGATAAGCAAAAGAATATACTGTAATCTGGTTGAAATATACATCTCAAAGATACTATGCCAGGAACAGGAGGTAGGAAGAATCCTGTTAATAGAAAATAAATGGTCTGTTAATGTTTGTGGGCTTGACTTCCTCAGTCCCCTTTTGAAAAGATTTTGGAAAAAATAGGAAAAGTAGTCAGACTTCTGTCCACACCAGTGATTCTCACATTTTAGAGTTCAGGAGTCACCTGTAGAGATGGCTGATAACTACGGAGTCCTAGGATCCGCTCCAGGTCTATTGAATCTGAGTCTCTGTGTTGCCTCCAGGAATCTACCATCTTAGCAGGTACCCCGGAGGAGTCTGGTGCAAGTGGTCTGTAACTCACACTTTGAGAAATGCTGGATTAGAGAAAATAAACATCTCTGCTTTGGTCCTTCAGAAAGCAGGATCAGAGGCAAGGGCTAGGGTGTTTGTATTTTATTTGAGAGGTGAAATCCCAGGATCAGGACAAGCAAGGCACAGGAAGATGCGATAGGATTTGCAAAGCTATTGTGTGGCTACCATTTCAAAACACACCATGAGGGACCAGCAAGTCACTCGGCATGGAAGGCCACTTTAGCCAAGTTAAGGGAGCATAGATGTAGGGAGAAGATGGGGCAGCCTGGCTCTCTCCCAATCCTTCCCTGACTCCTGTTTCCCATTGCTAAAATTCATGCCACTTGAGCCAGGGTCGTGTCACCTGTCCTCTCAGTGGCTTCTCAGGAAGTCAGACCTCTGGAAGTAGAGGGGGCAAACAGAGCAGATGGGACATTGGTCTAGACAGGAAGGAAGAAGGAAGCAGTGGAGGGCATGTGAGAAGCAACACATATTTGTTTCCCAAGGGAGAGAAGAAGTCAGCCTGGGAAAGGGCGATTTTCAGTTTCATAATGAATTGCAGCTTTTGAAGCTGGATATTAAAAGAAAACACTTCTAGGGAAATTATCAAAATAGAGTTGTTGTTTTTTTTTAACTGAGAACATTTACTGCCTGACTAATGGTTGAAATCCTTAAGATGAACTGGATGCCGCAACAGCTGCCCTCTTGGGTTTGGGTGTTGTTCCTTCATGGAATCCAGGCCTGAATCTGAGGCATACAATTTTTAGGTGCCTCATTCGACCAGTCCCAGTGGTACTGCGTCTTTTAGCCTTGGCACTCCAGTTACACTTTCTCTTGCGCTCGGCAGGGTAGCCACATTTGCCACACGTGGACTTCTGAAGGTGATAGGCCTTAGAACCACAGTGGCGGCACAGCGTGTGTGTCTTACTGCGACGCTTCCCAAACGATGACATTCCTTTCGTCATCTCACTTCTGTGGCTGAGACCAGAGACCAGAGACCGGAAGCTGAGTTATGTTAACAATGGTAATAAGAAAGCCTAGAATTTGTATCCATGGTAAATGTCTTTACATTTTTCTTTCTTTGTCTTTCCTTCCCCAGAACAACTTCTAGTAAAAGAAGACAATGACGAACGAGTGGTACATGTGAGATGCTGCAGATTCTTACAAAAGAGAGGCTACGTCAATTCAAGGTGTCACTTGTTTATTTTACATCCTGAATTAACTTTCCACCTTCCTTGCCCAAAGTTCTAATAAAAGGTTTCACTTGAACTGGAGAGCCAATGAGTTTGTGAACCTCATCCAGAATCCCACAGCTTTTTCTCTGAAGACCTGTAAGTTCCTCAGACGCTCTGAAAGGAATATAAAAATAATAATTGTAATTCTTAAAGGCTGCCAACTGCCTACTGGGTTCCAGAGAGTAATAACCTTGCTTAATGTTTACATGAAGCTTTCCATCTGTGTGTTACAGAACTTGGCTAACGTTATATGCTGGCAAATGGCATTAATCTGTCATAGAAATAGGGGGAATTTAGTCACAGGAAGTTTAAATAACTGATCATGTCATATAAGGAGTTGTCAAGAAATTAGACTTATTTTCCACTACCATCTGAGCCATTTAAATATGTTTCAGGTGGCTGTGAGACTCGGTCCTAGGAAGAAATACTCCATGACTGTCATAAATATATTGCCAGCTCAGTTGTGAGAAGTTGATTTTGGTTGTGTGGGTGCATATGTGTTTACTGGAGGCAGCATGCCAAAAATTATACCTGTTTTTAATGCAGTGGAACTCCTTGCAAGGACGGGTAAAGGATGGATGAAGGTGATAGATAACTCATAGTTTCAGATGGAAGTTAAAGAATGGAAAAATGAAAATAATATATGTTCCTAAGTGGGTTTTTTGTTTTTGTTTTTGAGAGATTTTTGCTATAGGGCCGTGCGCTCTCCAGAAATAGAGAGAGAGACAGAGAGACAGAAAGTGAGAAATCACCCCCCAGGGGAGATGGCCATGCCACAGTCCTTTCTCCTCCATGCTCTTGAGATCTTGGGCATGCATGCACATGCTTCTGGTGTGAGGTTAAGCCACTGGGTCCAGGACTCAAACCACGATTGACTATATGGGAGTCCAGCGACATAGCCATTATGCCAACTGCTGGCCCCCTAAGTGTTTTTTTGAGAATGCAAAAACAAATGAAGAAGTACAGAAAAAGTTTGAGCAACTGAAAGGACAAAATGGATCAAGAGAAGAAAGAGAAGGAAGGAGAGAGATGGTTGTAGGAAAGTAATTTACTTGTGAACTTATCAGAAGAGATATTTGCCATGCAGAAAGATGAGAGGATAACTTTTTTCTTAAATAATTTTTTAAATTTAATTTAATTTATTAATAAATTTAATTTGACTAGAGAGAGACACAGAAAGAGACAGGGAAAGTAAGAATGTAAGCTACTAGGTCTGAGACTTGAACCATGGTCAGCTTATGTGGGAGTATCCAGCACCTTAACCACCATGCCGCCTACTGTTCCCGAGAGGATAATTTTCTTTTTCTTTTTTTCTTTTTAGTTTGTGCCTATAATATATATTTTTAAATTTTATTTTACTTGTTATCATAATCTTTTTTATATTACATCAAATCACATATATCTTATTACATATTACATTTCTCTTTGCAGCATGATTTTCATGCATATCAGTCATGACAAAGACATTACTATCCACATCATCATCATCATCATCAAATAGCTTTTCATCATTTTTTTCTGGTTATTATTATTATTTATTTTCATTATTTTTTAAATATCCATTCACTATATATCATTTGGCTTGTTAAAGAATTTACCCAACATGAAATACTTTTTAGACCAGTCCAGTTGAGAATACTATACATTTTATCATCAACAGGTAATAAGTCATTTCTGTGTCCCACTAATGTTATGCCTCACTATTTGTTCTCTTGCTATCCAAGAGGCTAACTTTCATTAGCTGCATGTTTGAGAGAGAGATTGGTTATTTTTGGTTATAGTAAGTGGGTCTGTAATGTTTAGTCAGAAAGGTTTTGTTGAGCAACTACCATGTACATGACATTGAGACAGCAATGGGAAGAAGAGTTTGTCTTTGTTCTCTGTCTTTCTTCCTAAGGCCTTCACATACTTACCTGCTAAGAAAGAGTCGGCGAAGATGGTTGAACAAAATACTTTGCCCCGCAAGGTCTCTTTAAGCTCTAAAATTCTTTGATTCTGGGTCAAGATCTCAGGGTACTGAAGAAGCTATAACAGGTATGTTCTTTGTAGGCTGGACTGTTTTAGGGTTGAACAGTTGTTGTTTTAACTTCCCTCCTCCCGATCTTATTTCTGTCAAGTAAGATGACTTTAGTTGCAAATTGACAGAAGCCAGCTTCAGTATAAAAGGAACATATTGGCTTACCATACTAAAAAGTCATGGATAGATTTATTCAGGCATGCTTGATCTAGGACCTCAAATGCTATTCACATATTTTACTTTTCTTTTTCTCCTTGGTTCTGCTTCCCCTGGGTTGTCTCTATTTTCAAATCTACTCTTTTCTATAATAACAGAATAACTGTCATAGCCTCAGAGATCACCTTTTAACTCAGTCTTGGATAGAGAGCACGTCTACACATGTGTGAGCTCCCACATACACTGTGGGAATCATACTGATTGTACTGGTTGGGGTCAAGTGATCATTCTTGAACTAAACACTGCAGCAGCAAGGATTACATTTTGCCAATTGAGGGGCCAGCAGGTGGTGTAGTGGTCAAGGTGCTGGACTCCCACATGGTTGAAGTGGTTCAAGTCCCAGACCCAGCAGCTTGAAACTCAAGCAAGGTGTGTGCATGTGTGTGTGTGTGTGTGTGTGTGTGTGTGTGTGTGTCCAAAATCCTGAGAGGAGACTGGAGGAGAAGGGATTGCAGTATGATCTCTCTCTCTCTCTCTCACACACACACACACACACCCTGCCCCCAGGTGTGGTCTCTCCCTCTCTCTCTCTGGTTGGGGTCAAGTGATCATTCTTGAACTAAACACTGCAGCAGCAAGGATTACATTTTGCCAATTGAGGGGCCAGCAGGTGGTGTAGTGGTCAAGGTGCTGGACTCCCACATGGTTGAAGTGGTTCAAGTCCCAGACCCAGCAGCTTGAAACTCAAGCAAGGTGTGTGCATGTGTGTGTGTGTGTGTGTGTGTGTGTGTGTCCAAAATCCTGAGAGGAGACTGGAGGAGAAGGGATTGCAGTATGATCTCTCTCTCTCTCTCTCACACACACACACACACACCCTGCCCCCAGGAGTGGTTTCTCACTCTCTCTCTCTCTCTCTCTCTGTCTCTGTGTCTCTATCAAGCGCACTCGCCTTATACCAAAAATTCTCTTTAAAAAATAATTTTTTTGCCAGCTGATTGGGCCTGGCCACATGTTCTTCCTCTGCAGCCTGAGATGTAGCTCTGTCTGATCCTTGTGCACTGGAGTCTGGAAGAGTACAACCAGGAGACAGGGGGATGAATTCTGGGAAGCCAAAAATCAATTCTAGAGTCCCCAGACACTGTGCAACCTAGGAAGAGACATGAGGTTCTGCCTCAAAGAACAAGAAGAAAAGGCCAGAAAAACTTCCGGTCCCTAGACAAGTCTAGGATTCAACAACACATCCAGGGTGGCGGCTCACTGCCCCGCAGGATGCTCTGTGTTTGGGCACTGAATCAGGGATTTTGGATAACCTCAGTACATAGTTACTTCCAGGAGATTACAGGGGGAGAAATACTCCACTTCCTGTTTAGGATTACACTCTTAACCCTCCCCTCCCACGCAGGCCATATGTTCATTCTAAGCCTCTGCATCCAGCCAGAAAAGCCCTTTGTGTTTTCTTGGCAAAACTAGGGCCCAGTAATTAAAGTCCATATGCAAAGCTGCTACCTCCAGCCTACACCGAGGTCTTTTAATTAGTATGTAATTGGTCAGAGAGGTACTATCAAATAGCTCCCAGTCTGGCCTGCTGGAAATGCAGTGTTTGAAAAGTCCCAGACCAGAGGGGAATAATAAATGTTTTAAGTCCCATCTGTTGGAATGATTTGTTTAAGGCATAAATTTCTGTTCTGTTACTATTTTTAACACTTCTTCCTAAGCATTTCTTCAAACACTGTGGAACTACTCAAGTATTTGTTGGGGGTAGGAATGTAAGTAAATGAACTAGAAAAAGGCTTAGCAATCCACATGTTTCCAAAAGCTTCAAAGAAATTCAAATAATGCCGTGGGGCTGGAGAGGGAAAGCAGAGAATTGGGCATTTGGTGTGAGGGACAGGTCAGGAACTCTGGGGTTATGTCTGTGAAAACAACCATCCGGGAAATCAGCCCTTAGCACTCTGCAGTCTTTGCAGTGAATAGCATGGCATTGCCCTTTAGCCCTGGCCCAGTGCACCATGTATGGGGAAGGCCTTCCTGAAGTGAGGAGGGACTCTGAATTCACCTTGGTAGGTGCACTCAACTGCTAGGGAAAACAGAGGGCACAAGAAGCAAAGCAGTGGAGACCTCATCGCCTTCTGGAAATGAGTGGCTGACTAGAGTGAGATCGAGCAGGCTGCTCCTGCCCGGCACTGCAGGAGGAGGGCCCTGCTTTGCCTGATGAACATAAAGGAGAGTGAGACCAGCCCATGGAAGGCTCTGGTCCTTCCAGGGGCGTAAGTGCTTGTACCTCCCTCAGCCCTCCCACACACAGGCTCTGGGGAGTGGCCGTACTTCTTATTCCACACCTGGGAAACTCAGTTTTACTTAGGTATATTGATGAGTTAAGTTGTGTTATTTTTTTTAAAGAGATTTTTGCTATAGAACATATGCAAGAAATCACCCCCAATGGGGGATGGCCATGCTGCAGTCCCTCCTCCTCCATTCTCCTCTTGGGATTTTGGGCGAGCACGCATACACACCCAGCAAGAGTTGTGAGCACGCGCACACACCCAGCAAGAGTTTCAAGCATCTGGGTCTGGGTCTCAAACCATAGTTGGCCATGTGAATGTCCAGTGACATAGCCCTTACAGCTGGTCCTGTTTATTTTTTGTTTGTTTATTTTTTAAGAGGTTTTTTTTTTTGACTTAGGGTACATATGCTTGTCAAGGAAAGAGAGACACAGACACATGAGAAAGTAAGAAAGAAATCACCCCCAGAGGGAGCCATGGTGGTGCTTGGCCTTTGGCAA